CATTCCTTACACCCCGACATTCTTTATTTCCTTTCGAAGTCATAAGTATCATTGTCGAAAATCTGTCCGACGACTTGGCGACTCTGCACAGTTGTATGCTAACCAACAGACAATGGTTTAACGCATCCGTCGCTGTTGTCTATCGTGCCCCGTACAGTCCTTCAAACGACTATAATACGGGTCCGGTTGAGGTTTATCTGACGAGTTTGTTACAAGAAGATAAAGAAACCCTTGTTGCTCACGGAATTCACCTGCCCGCCTCAAAGTTGACAGTGGATTACGTCTCCTTCACTAGGGAAATTGTCGATTCAGTGTTGTATAAGAGGCTAGAAGAGTGGCTGTGTAATGAAGATATGTCTGAACATACGGATTTGCTATTCTCACGGATGATGAACATGTTTGTGAGAAAATGTAGATTGAGAAGCCTTAATACTTGTATGTATCAGAAGAAAATCAATGTTGAGAGCCCGTCAGACTGGTTATCTGATGTTGCACGTTATCAACATGATCTCAACAAACTCTCGGTGAAGTTACTATGCGCAAGTCCAAAGGAACAAAACGACATGAACGACAAAGTTGCATCAATCATCAAGAAGCAAAAGTCATTAAGAGAATTTTCTTTATTTGCTTTCGGTCCTTGTGTGAATCCAATTATGGATGCATTGAAACAACATAGCAGAACGCTCGAGAAGGTCCAACTAGGTGGATGTACCGTCTTGGAATACTCTGTATCTGAGTTCCTTAATACATTCAAGAATATTAAGAAAACAATTCATTCGCTATTGCTATGGAATTAGCGAAAAACGATGAGTTGAACAAACTTGATATCCGATTATAGAATTGGGCGGATTGTTGTCGTATTACACATTCTTACCTTCCTTCTCTGGACTCTTTGTTAGAAGACATAAGTTTAGAGTTTTTGATTCATGGGTCTTAGAGAGGTTACAATTCCTATATTTTTGTTTGACAATAAATGCAATGCAAAAATACAGTGACAGCTTTATAGAATTATTAGAAACAGCTACCTCTATCATTCTTGTTTCAACTGAACTATACAAAATGGCTATAATTGATTCTGAAGCCTGTGTTCGCTGTTCAACACGTAGACAAGTTTTCAACCCGAGAATTGTGCGAATGAAATATTGACCAGGCCAGTCTGCAACAACAGAAATCACGTACTAATTTACTTTCGACGAAATCAAAAAGGATAGAGTTACGTAATTCCTTTCCGTGGTTTATCTGAGTTTTTTGTTTCTTCTTCGCAAACCCCCCCATGAGTAATTGAAGAAAGAAAAGCAAGATTCTTCCGGTGGCCCGTGTGATGTATTGTTGTAATAGGCCTGTATTGTGATATAATTGAAGAATTTGTAGAAAGAAAAGCAAGATTCTTCCGGTGGCCCGTGTAGTGTATTGTTGTATCGAAGGCGCAAATCCATTCGATTCTACGTTACTTTTGTTATCATAGGCCTGTATTGAAGGATTTATAGAGTTTCGCGGTGCGAAGCAAGGTGTTCTATTTGCCAATAGCTTCTTTCTGATAATGTTCATTAGCACCGTCTGCGTCGAGTCGAAGTTTACACGTATGCCGAGAGGCCGCCGCTCTAAGTCCGGATACTCGCGACATGACGAGACAGGGGGCCGGATGTGTGAATTCGGGATAATTTGTTGAATCGCCTATCAAGATGTTTTGCGATTAATTCGCTGTCCACACTTTCGGATTGAGTGCTCCATCGCGTGGTATTGCTGGCATCAGACATGGGATTGGTAATATTGTTGCAACATGTGCTGTCCAGTGGTGTCAGGTCACCGCTGAACATGAATGTTATGATACACCCTTGTCGTTAGGTTGTGAGTCGTTAAGTTGAGGGACAGCGTTAGGTTGAGAGTGTTCTTCGCCGCTGGGCGAGAAGGACAGTCCTCGCGCCGCTAGCGTGAAGGACAATCGTCCTATATGCACTTTATTATTCTGTCGTTGTCATCAGAAAGTCAACCAAAGTGCCTTCAGTGATTGTCGCATTTCACACAAAACAATACACTCCTCTCACATTACCTTACTAAGCATTTCACTCCGACTAACGGACGGAATCTATGGCTTTACATTCTCTTCTTTGCAGACATTTTGGTAAATAAGCGACTTGAGAGCGTCTCTTATATTTTCAATGAATTGTGTCACGTATTTCCTTATATAGGTACGTAATCAAAATTTCCTGGATGGGAAGGTAATTTTCGAATTATGATGTATCCAAGTCCTATGAAAACAGTGCTTGCGCTATATCTGGAAAGTCGAGAACTACAAGAATGGTCTTACAACGGATTTCTGACAGAATACTGTAAACCCGCTCTCCCCCCGTAGTTGGCAGATATTAAAAATGATAAATCAGAAAAGAACATTCTTTTTCTTTCTTCTCCACACGATCATTATTGCCGTAAGTGATCAACGATGATAACTCCAATTCAATGTCCTAGAGCATTCAGTTCCTACTGAGGTCGGCATTGGTTGCATAATAGTTTGGTTTTACTACCTTCCCAAAGCCCACCAATAGCTCTGCAAAGGAATTAAGGCTTCGTAAACTCGTGTCCAGCACGAATCACATTTGAATCCATCAGTCAGCAATCTTTTAGAAGCAGTTTCAATGGTAGATTTAGGGCTTCAACAACTAGGACAAGAGGTTGGTTCGTTTGGCATCTGTTACTATGGTCTTTGTGAAGACTTCGAAGAGTATCGGCACGCGCAAAATTTATAAACCGTTGATGTACATGACAAAGATACGATATGTGTTGGAAGGTGCATACAAGACATGTGAGTATTGATAGTGACCAGCAGGATAAGTCGTTGCGCTCAAATTCAAAACGACCCTGGACTTTTTATTCTTGGTGAGCTTTGTTGAATCGACAGTCCTAACTTAGATTTCATCTATCAGTGTGGAAATAGAGAGCTTGGGGTAGGAGAGAACACCGGCCCTTGTCATACTTGTTGCACTGTATCATAAACGACTTTTGAATCGCCACTTTGACAACAGCAATACACCGAGCCATTCTTATTATGATCCACTGGACACCAAGATAAAGTGGTGACTGATTTTGTTGACTTGGTAAGAAGTTGCTCGAGCGGAACATATAGAGTTGAGCGCTATCGGAGTTACGCAAGGAATATACGCCATCCCTCGCGTAATAACATAAAAATTATCAAAATTCAGACAAGAACGTATATACGAAATTATGATAAAGCTCTCCAATTTCCCGAAAGTGGGGTGTGATTGTAGTTGTTTGGCTAAGCTGCCCAAAGAAAATTTTGGGAAGATTTCTCTTAAAAAAGATATTTTCTTAATGGCCCAACTCAGGTCTATGGATGGGGGGAGTGATCAGTGCTAGTCAACGTCTAAAGAACAAGACTCGCGTCAAAAAGAGCACTGCCTACTGCTGAAATTATTTATCAAAAAACTGCCTCAATATGCTTGGCACTGGCTGTAAAATATCAGAAATCACTTGCTCAAGAATGGTCTTCTATCAGTCAAAAAGAATGCCGCAGTGATGTTAATCGCAGTGACCCAATCGAAACTAACTTTCCACTTTCGCTAATCTTTAATCCTACATTATAGGGAGTGTTAAAAAACCAGAACTAGAATTAAGTGAATAGACTGCCCACAATTTCGAGTTGAAATCAGTTAAGCAAGAAAAAAACAAATGAAAGACTTGGATACCAAGTTCTTTTTTAAAAATAATCGAAAGTAATTTAAATAAAAATACAATGGCAGCGGAAATGATCTACGAGTCCATTCACCGTGATTTTTGGCCGTCTGGAAGAAGCAAATTGCGTGCATTTCGCAAATTATGACATCATACATGTCCTCGGGAAGATGTCATATCACATTACGTAAGACAGAAATTATAAAGCAGACCCGTCGGGGTCATATTACCTGTACTACTTGAAATGTTCGGTCTACTTGCCCGTCGTGGATTGTTCCTGATTATTAAACCCTGTTGTCGCCTCCTTTCTGCAAGAAATCGATCATTTAACTATGAACTTTCATAACGCAATCATATGATGAGTGTTTCATTAGCACAGTTACCGTATTATACGATTTTATTGCCAAGCTACGCATGTTTATTATACATACCCATCAAATAGTAAAATATTTATTTTCGGAAGTCCGCATTTACTATATTTACTATGCAACTAACAATGATTTTGGTATAGTTTGATTGTACTTGTTGAAATAGTGGAAGTACATTATTTCTATAAAGTCATAGTTGCAGTGTATGTGTGTAACCTATCTATATAGCGTCGTCGCTGTCAATTAATCAACTGCTTCCGAAAATAAATATTTTTACTATTTGATGACAGGGATTTGTAAAAATGAGTTCCCCTTCTTTATTGAACCTCTGTTGAATATGTCGTATGGAAGTTCGACAATACTGAAACAAAAGAACTAAACTAATTAAGTTGTATTGTCTAATAAGAAATACGCATAATACTATCAAACTGGTAATTATGTCAGTATAATGCACGTATGAAACCACTGGACTATGCACTGGGGTATGTGCGTGTAACTACCCAGTTTACCATATTAACGATACACCCCTGCAATTGTCTATTATTGTCTTTGAAAACACTTTCCAAAAGTGGGAATTGATTTTCAAACAAAATGGACGCCTTCTCGCAACAGCTTGTTATTATCCGATCCTATTGATATATCCTCGCCTTTGCCACAGCAAACATAGTTTAAAACTTGTCGTTGCCCTTACCATCAAAAAAGTTGATAATAATAATAATAATAATAATTTGGATTGGTAATTTTGTGTGACTTGTCTTGCGTTATACGATAGACACTTATTTCCCTTTGATTGGCTAACGGATTTCCAACATATTTGATATAGCCGACGTTCCTTTGAATACAACCACGGAACGAAAAGTGGGAAAGACGATTGCGAGCTAGACTCCAATTATTCCTACAACAAAAATATATTATATTTGTACAGCTCTTTCTTTCTACTTCAAAATGACTGGACAATCTTCCCCACCATCATATACGCCGTATCCCAAACCACCATCCTATACTCCCACAACCCACGAACTCACAGAAGTTCCTCCAACAATAACAGTTCCAGCGCAAGCTCACACTAACGATTTGTATGACGATTCTCCACCACCGTACCATGAGATCGTAAACGGTCAGAGCTCTGGCAATGACGAAGAAAGTGGTATTAACATGGTCGAAAGTGAACAGGAGAGATCTAAAAAGTCTTGGACAGTATTTATTAAGATAGGCTATGCTTTGTTCATGCTTGTGAATAGTTTTATAATAATCGATGGGTTTATATTGTTAAAATATATTGGATCGAAGGTAAGAAGCGGCAAGCGTTTGGTTGGGGAAGAGAACTTATCTGTAGCCGACAGTCGAGCAGTGAAACGCTTGTATAGTTAGAATCGGATACAATAAATTACTTTTAATATATTTAACGGATCTTTGCATTTAATACAGAAAGAGGGACATTTCGATGAAGCGGAATTAGCATTGCGCACAATGATGGTTATAGAGATCTTCCTTCGAGTTCCATCAATATTGTATCTGCGAAGATTGGATTCGGCCGACTTTGGATTTATAACAGGACTTGCTACATTTGTTGGTAAATATTTACAATCACTTTTTTCAACCCGTGAATCTTTCTTTTCTCGAACACGGCCTCATTCCCTGCTTAATACAATCCTATATTGCTGATTTTGGTTACTCTTTGTGATCTTTATTGTTCTATATCTGACATCTCCGATTCTCTTAATAGGCAAAGAAGACTATTATTTGCTTTGCTATAACCCACGATCCAACACGCTGCTTTACAGGAAACTCTTTCAAATGCAAATAATTTATTGGGCCTACAATCTAACCGGCGGATTCGTTATCTGGCTAACATGTTTATTCGAATTGGTCGAAGGTTCGATAAGGCCGTTTGTGTATGCGGGAAGCGCGATATGTCTAGCTAATTCTCTGAGATTAGTGATCGTCGGATGTTACAAGTTTTTCCGAAAACAATTGTAGGCGGAAGAGCATGAGACGGGTAGCATAGAAATTTAAGAATACTGTATATTCTTTGCGAGACTCGAGATTCGTAAAACATGAGATTTCGCAAACGACACTTTACAAGACGAGCATGATAGTGGCTTCCAGCCAAAGATGTACAGCATAACCAACTATTGTGCGATTAAGCGTGATACTTTTTATATTAGACTCTCCTGTTATATATACTTATATTATTAAAGCAATATTTGTACGTTACGAATATGATGGTGGCTTGTAGTCTCAACATTGTTCTTCTACGTCCTTTATATGTATGGATCAAGAGTTTAAAGATGTAGATGCAACGAATATTCTCTCGTTTAGAAGAAGATGGCCTTGTGTAATAATTAATACAAAGAACATTCTACCAAGAACAAAATTAATAGTATCATAATAATGACATCGTAATAGTAACAAAACGCAGTTGTTTTGTAGCGTAAACTCTGGTCATTTGTAGTTGTCTCTGTGCATAAATAAAAATAATGTTTTCACGCATAAATGCAGGATTAGGAACTTTGCCTTTCTACCTATGACATCATCCAGTAATAGCGGACACCTGTATCACCATCACAAATATATGCTACATCGACAGAGTTTAAACTTCCATCAAATGCTAGATCGTCTTTTTTGAACCATGAATAGTGTGTATGCTAGGCTCGCGCTTGAAACTATTGCTGCAGCCCCAATCCCGGGGTTGGCAGTGTGTGCAACTTTAGTTGCAACTATCGTAGACAGTGCCAAGAGAGCAAAGCACAACAAGAAGCTCTGTAAAATGTTAGCTGACGGTGCAGAGAGAGCACATGAAAGAATTATCCGAGTCCAGCAATCAAGATTGAATTCCAGAGCAATAGATTTGTACAAAGAATCGTTGGATGATACATCCCAACTGCTGGAAAAGTTACAGCAACCTGGCTTGCTTTATAGTCTATGGCGTGTGCTGAATTCTGATGAGGTATGCCATTACATTACATCATCTATAGACACGTGCTACTACTTATAATACCATCACATGTCTTATAGATCGAATCCCAGTTTCGAGACATTGGTAGTAAAATGGATTTGGCAGTGGCCGAAATTACTCTTGATTATGTGGCAGACATCTACGGAGCCGTCACCGATCAGTCAAGACACACAATCCAGCTTGCGGCAATTACCGGCGGTGCGACACCCAGCGACAATCTATTGCGCGACATAATGATTAACCCAGACGTGATCTACGACCCGGTGGGCGAAGATCCCGTATTCAGAGGGGATCATAAAAAAGTACGAAAGCGATTGTATCAAGGCGGAACGGTTGCTGAAATCAGGATTGGCACTTATTATTCATACAGTCAGGAAGCGAAAGATTTCTTCCGCAAGCAAGTAATAATAATGAATCTCTTGCGTGATAACGATCATATTCTGAAATTGTAAATATCGTGTCGAATTCTTTAAAATGGTTTATATAAATTTACAACGACGCTGACTTTGAGATCCCATTGACAGCTTCGGTATCGAAGAACGTACCCAATGCTTTTATGTTATAACTCAGTGGGCCGAATTGGGAAATCTCGAAGACTATTTAAAAAGCAATGATTCATCGGCATTTTCCTGGCACGAGAAATATAGAATAGCGCATCAAGTTGCACACGCGCTTTTCTATTGTCACGAAAGGGAAGTGCTTCATGTTGATGTGAGAAGTCCTAATATCCTCTTGGACGAAACTATGACAGCAAAGCTTAGCAATTTTGAATATTCTCGGAAGGAAGATGGTGTCTCTGTACCTGCTAGGGATCAAGCAATTAGGATAAGGTATGTGTTTTCTATTGCATATGTTGGAGTTGTGCTTAAGATAGTCATTTTAATCGTTCTGCAGGTGGACTGCTCCCGAAAAGCTGTCTAATCCTCAACAACGATATACGAGAAAGTGTGACGTCTACAGGTATGGTCTAAATATTTATTTGCACACAAGCATTTCTGTTTCTTTCGCCTCTTCAAGCAATTAACTTATTCGTACGGTTTTTTATTATATTGTTTCCTTTCCTGCCTTTGATCGACTTAGTTTCGGTATATTGTTATGGGAATTGGCATCACACAAGTGGCCATATTATGAAATCAAGACTTATAACGATCTTTTAACGTACGTTCAAGGAGGCGGTCGTCCAACTAGAGTAGAAGAGACACCGCCAGAATATCAAGCTGTAATGGAAAAGTGCTGGGATCCAACGCCATCGTCGCGACCGAGAATGCAAGACGCCTGCAGAATGCTCTACAATCTTTATGATAATTTTCGGAAGAGACAAAGTATTGCTCGAAGAGGTTTTTCAACATCGATACAAACGGAAAGACATCTCCAAGAAGCAGAGAAGAATGATGATAACGTTGACAGATCTGAAGAGTTGGAAGAGTACGAAATCATCCCAGAAGAACTACCTGCTCTCGATGTTGCACTTAATTTCCATGAAATGAACGAGTATGCCAAGGCCTATCCCATTTTCAGAGGACACGCGCTCCAAGGTAGCGCAGTAGCCCATTACTACTTGGGTATGTACCTTATGACCAACCATCCAGGTCTTCCCAATATTCAACCGGTACAATGTATGAATCATTTTCGTGCGGCTGCCGAGAAAGGTCACCATGAGGCACAGTATGAGTTTGGTAAAATTCTAATAAGCATCGGACAGGAAGAGGCCGGAATTCAGTATCTCAGAAACGCTGCAATTGCCGGCAATATGAATGCGCAGAATTACTTGGCGGCTAAAGCTAGTGGCTGATGCGATTAGCGAAGACTCGACAACAAACTTTTCTATCAATAAATTATTTATTCATTTTTGGTATTGTAAATATGCAACAGTTTCGTCTCTGAGGGTCCTGGCCTTGGTAGAAATTGGCAACAAAACGAAAAAATAATTCGAAAAAACAATTAGGTCAATGCTCCTTATTCGACTGAGCGAGGTGCAACTCAACCATCAATTCGATTTTCAATCTGGCACTTTGGAACTCTAAATTTTGTATTGAGGATCTAGTTTTTATATCCACATCTGGCTTTGAACTAAGTTGATGATGTACTTAAGGGTTTATCTCTTACCTCTTTTTACAAATTGCCACACCATAGTGACAAGTAAATGGATGCAAGTCATCGATAAACCTTTCAATTTGAACATGTTCACATTTATTTAACTGCCAATAAAATTTAAATTCAATTGATTGATTGGGGGAAGGGGGGTTATTACTGTTCTATGACGAAGGAATTATAATTCGTACAATAAATATATCGAGGGAAATGTTTGGTGAAACGTGATTAATTATCCCTATATGATAAACAGACCAGCCCTTCAAGAATGAAGTTTTAATCAATACAGTATGCATTGTTAATACACGAGACGCGTTTTTGTCACTCAAATTTGTTGTTAGAGTGACGGAATATCAGCTATAATAATGATGTGGATAGCCCACCATATATTACAGTATTATGGTCTCTTAACTAAATATAGATGTTTTACACAATACACCCGATAGTCTCTTTCAATTGAATCTCAGAGTCCCTCCGTCAAAGCTTGCAATATGTACAGAAATATATTCGAGTTCAGTTCTCGCAATGTTGTCATGTGTTCGTTCGTGAACATTTCCATTAGCTGGAAGAAAACCGTCAAAAAAATCCAAGGCATTGACAGCACGTCACTAATCATGGCAATAGTGGCAACAGATTTCTATTATGACCAACATTCCTGTTGAAATCGCCTGTTCTTCTCCATTGTATTAAAGTATTTTTTAGCCTGTGCATCATCCATGTCTCCCTCCTTTTTAAAAACCTCTGTAAATGATTCAATAACAGCAGTTGGCATTTTATCGGATCGCCTAGAATAGAATACGTTAATCGCAGTAGGGTTTGCGTGCTTACAAGAGCGTCGCGATACTCACCCAGATAGATAGACATATCCTCCTTGATCATGTACAAGCTTCCATATTAAGGCTGCGTTCTGTTTGATCAAGTCCTGGACATATATTTTCTTTCCCTTTAAAGAATAACAATAATGTTCAGATGCCGCTTATATTATAAACCGCAAAATATCTACCGTATTTGACCTACTTGATCTCGTGAACACGCAACAAACAGTGTTAGTTGACCCTCTCGAACATAGGAGTCCCACTCATTTTTGTAGTAAAAATCTTTATCATGATATCGGCAGCCAAAGAAAAGGTAATTTTCTATTTGATCAAAATCAAGCAATGAGCATATAGTCGATGTACGATCATGTGTAATAAAGATTCGTGAAAGTTTGCCGTGACTGATGCAAATACCTGTAGCACCATCTTGAATGCGATCCTCAATGAACGCCTTCATTACTGATACTCCGGTTCCTACAAAAAAAATAATAATAAATATTTAACAAACTTGAGTAATGCTGTCTTGCAATCATAACAATGTAATGCTGCTCACCGGGACCAACAAGTATTATTGGTATCCCTGAATCACGTGGTAGTTTCATGGTTCCCTTAATAACATTAAATGGGATGACGGAACCTAAGACACACGAAAAATTGTTATATTAACAATTGATGAACCATCGTTAATAACTCACACAACTAGAAAACATACCGATCTCCAAATCTTCCATCCATTTAGTACAAACACCTCTTCTTGGAGATCTTAGTTGCGTCTTATAATTGACAATAGCGACTGTTAAATGTATTGCATTAGAATGCATACTACTTGCTGACGATATAGAGAACTGCCGTGGCTGTATCATAGGAAATACATCAAGAATGTAGTCGATCGGGATCTTTGCAGATGAAAAGTCATGCAAGGCTTCAACTATGGTGCGTTTGACGCGTTGATTATACGCATACAGATCGTCCTTTAAGAATAAATATAATTACGCTAATCAATAATCATATTTCAAACGCACGGCCAGCATGAAACATACAATTATTTACCTGGCCTTCGGCAGAACAGAACTCACGCAATTTCTCGGTCTGATCTTCGTTTGTTGTAAAATACGACAGAAATTCAAAAAAAGATCGTCTCGGTGTGCTAAAAATATCCAAATATTTCTCAAATAGTAATCTTAGAGTTAACCTTGATTCCCAATGTTTTGGGATTTTGCAATCTGCGAGTGGGTAAATACGTGAATAAAATATTTCTATAACATTCGACATGAATGGTGTGCTGTTAGCGACAATAACCTTCTTGATTCGGCACTAGTATGAATGGATCATCTGCAATGTCTGTCCATTCCATCATCTCTAGAAAGGTGTCCACATCTTTTTTCAGGTTCCTAGGTCTTATTACCATAATATCTCCTGGGTCATAACTAGATGATGGTACCGATCAGTTAAATCTTGAGCATTAGGCAAATTCACATTGTTTAAAAATGCGTCTACCTTATAAAAGGCTCTTCAATAGCAAATTCCAAATGCCTCACATCTTGAAAATGGTCAGTAGCCGTAATTCTTTGATTAGAGACCAACCGTACGGTATACTTATACTCAACAGATTCATCGGATAATGGAACACCATGGTCAATAAACTGAATACGGAAACTTGGAGGTGGCGTGGTTTAGAAGTTAAGACTAATAATAATCCAAGAGTTATTGTGATCATGGCCATGGGTGTTTCTGGCGAAACGAAAGGATATAAGTCCTCAGATGGAATAATATCCATTCCAGAAGGCAAGGGGTACATTTTCATCAACACGTCCCATACACCTTGAATCCACGGGTCAAATGTTCCGTCTTGACTATTGAGACATTTGGTCAAAGTATATTCACAAAAATGGAAACTTATCAATAAAGGCAATATTACTCACCCGAGGTAATGCTGATCATCTCCATCGCCTCTTGGATAAATGCTTTCTGCCCCGAGTTGCAGAAGACGCTTCCAAAGCTTTTTCGCAGGATAATTATATCTTATGAACAGAGATGAATTTATCGATGAGTTGTGCAATACATTATAAATGCTATATAAAGCTGGTACCTTATGTATGACGAGTCTCCCTGTCCAAACACGGTAAATTTCATTTGACTAAGAATGTCGTTAGGAAGATTTTTTCGCAAAAGAAATTTCCAAAATCTCTACCAATTGACCATGAATTTGCAATGTGCTCAGTGAGAAAGTCATTTTAATAACCGACGAGGATCAGTCTAGTTATAAACGCAAGCAAAGCATGCATTCGTTCAGAGAGAACCAAATAGTTTATTAGATGCGTTTCGGTTAAATACCTTCATATTATCGGGTTCATCACCTTGTCCAGTCGTTGAGCATATAAAAATAACGAGTGCTTCGTTTATAAGTTTTGTCTTCATTACAAAATTGAGAGAGTTAATGCCTATCAAAGCCAATTTGAAGTGATATCAACAGAAACGAATTGAATACCACATGCAAAGTTCATTGCTTATGTGATAGATCAAACACTTTACTCTATCGTATTCATCCATAGCGAATATTCGAACTCTAAAATGCCTCCTTCTTGCCTCCCTTGCCGTCCTCTCTGCAGCGTCTTGTGCGCAACCAGTCTGACTTCCGTACAATATTAACAGCTGTCTATCTGTTGAATCGTTATGGAATTTGTCGTCCATTCCCATTATCTGTTAATTGGGGTAATAAACAGAGTAAAATCTTTTTAGATTTAAAATTTTTGGCTTGTGATGTAACAGTATTCAATATTATGGATATAAATGGTGTGTTTGTCGTAAATCCCGTCCAGGGTCCCAAGACCGCATTCTACATATGTAAATCCGGGATTTACATACAACATGTTCACTAGTTTGGACAACCAATGTATAGGAATCTAACGTGGAAGATCTCAATAATATGGCTTTAGGAAAATTAAGAACTAACGAAGTGCAGGTTTGCATAGCAAATGTATGAAAAGCGGAGATTATGCTTAGGTCAAAGGTCTTGCTAATAGCGTTCTCTCTTCAAAGTCAATGCTAACATGGGACGCGTTGCAACTAAAACCAGGCAAAGTTTGTTCAAAAGGAGAGACGCCTTGAACATAATTATTCTATTGAGCATTTTATTTTCATTAGAGACACCTTCCATAAATTATGGAACGTCTTGGATAAGATGAATCTTGAGAACGTTCAAGAGATCAATCATAATAAGAGACGTGCATGAATTGTTATAATCAGTTGAAAAGCCAAACGGTTATGTGCTATACGCAATTACCAAGTTCAACATATTGCTCCATACGGTAATACGAATACATTAGAAATTCGAAAAACAAACATTTTAATTTGTTCGGTGTGGCAAATCTGTGATCGGCAACCCCTAAAATTTGTGTCACGTGTCGATAATTGACGTTATAAATGTTCCCGAATGATATCATTGATTCTACGCAGCTTTCATAATGACAACAATTCTTCCTATGGAGATACTTGTAAGCGTACTCGAGTCATTAGAGCTTGACTTGGGTACACTCTTCGTTTGTTCATTAGCATGCAGGGGACTTTGCAAGGTTGCTGTCCCAATACTATACAGACAACCGTTCCAGCTCTGCCAAGAGTCGTCGTATTTCAAGTTGGTATCGGTATATTTGCCCTATCTCCCTGAATTCGACCGCCAATCTCCGAATATCTATGAACTTCCACTATTTGACTATCCGTCCTATCTTCAATCAGTATCGGGTAGTAAACTCCAGATTGCAATTGATGCTTACAATAAAGAATGCGAAGGAATGCCAAATCTACAGGAAGTCAAACCACTTCGTTTTTTACACATGCTGCTGACAAACGCGAGACAAATATTGCATCTCGGCCTTGAAGAATGGGCTTGCATGCAAAGAACATCAGTATTCAATGAATTATATGTAACCTCTCAATCTCAGCGCCATCTCAAATCTTTGGAAATAAGTGTGAACGGACGATCATTGTTAGAATCTTTCTACACTCCAACGAGTCTGGAGGCTCGTATTGCTGCTCTCATCAGAGCTCAGAAAGAATTGGAAGTGTTTGCATTTGATGGACAATTATTCAGACATGAGAGTGAAATAATGGATGCTTTGCTGACTCAGAAGAATACATTGAGGGAGTTGAGAATTTATTGCAAATATCATGAAAGGTTTGATTTCGTTTCATGGCTCAAGGCTGTCCCTATGCTTCGGGTATTTAAACTTTTTGCGACAACACCAGTGAATCGTGAACTTTTGAAATATTTGAATCAGAGGCGAAATGAATTGGGAACGAATTTTAGTTTCACAGTACGTGAGGCGGTATCCTTCCCCGATTTACTAGCCGCCATGCGATTCGAGAGTAATTGTCAATAGTAAAGACATACCGAGAGTAATTGTTAATAGTAAAACATACCACTGTCCAATCATTTTCACAATAGATCGATCTTTTTCAACTTGCCGCCACTAAAGTTACTTGTGTGCTTCTCATCTTGCACTTTATGTTCTTGACAGTGGTGAAAAAGGTTTATACAGTTAGTACGCTCAAAGCTGATACAGGCGTTCGCCGAATGACTGCGTTTTGAGAGGATACGATGTTAGAGAAACAAAATCAAGCGTAGTAAATGACAGAATCAAAGTTCATTTATTTTTTTTTTTTTGTGCATTTGTGGGGTAGTTGTCGTACAGGCATTCGAATAAACAGTCTGCTGGGGCATTTAAATAGTGATATGATTAAAAGGAAAACATCGGGACGAGGGACGGTTGCAACAATAACAAAACAATGACCAAAGCAATCGAGGAATAAAAGACGAGTATTGTGCGATATATTCTTCCGCGTCTGTAATTGCGCCTTTACCTCCTTTGCCGCTGTGAATGCCCGAATTGTGCTGGTCGTTAAAAGGAGAGCTCTACGCCATTGCTTGATCCTTTAGTGGGCGTATTGATCTTTGTTAATTTCACGTTTTGTCGCGTGATATTTGACTAATAATAATTTTGATATGTGTCATTAATAGTTACAATTGTCTAGAATTAACCAAGGCCCATGAATAGTGACTTGATAATTATTTCGCGAAAAAAGTTGTGACTCAAAGAATTTTGAAAACAGCAATCTTCATCGTATATCCATTTCTACTTCTACATCGAATTAAGTCGGTAGCTTCCCGTCAGGGTACACTGATGTATGATTAAGAATAAACGCGTTTCTAAATATCGTAACTCGCCACTCGGATGATCACGGGACACGAGGGCGATTATCCTTCGTTGATATACGGATTAGCGATTTCTCAGACATATCAACTAGTTTAGAGAATAGGGCATCAAATATAGGTTCAGAGTAAATGCGATACTCGTTTATTAACAATAATATTATGAAATAAAGGAATTTTTAAGGAATCAAATTCACACTGCGAAACACACCGATTCTAGCTGAAAGTCATGCTGCTTATTATTATATAACTTTAGGGTTGCAGTCTCGTGAAATGTTCGGTGACTCTAATTCTCTCTTATTTTTTGGTATGCGTTTATGTTCATGCAATTTTCTTCCATAAATGCTCAATTGGATTGGGATCCGGGCTTTGAGCAGGCCATGGAAGAGAAGATATCAAATTTTCCTCTTTCCAGGCAAGCACTGAGTTAGCTCTATGAACAGAAGCATTATCATATTGAAGGACATAAGTTTTTTCATCATCCAGGCTTTCAATAAATGGTCTTCTAAAAGCTTTTTATAGACTTGGCCTGTAATATTTCCTTCTAACACTACTTATGGTCCAGGTCGATTTTTAACAAAACAACCCCAGACCATTACCCCTTCACCATTTCGTTTTACCGTAGGCACTAGACAGTCTACATCATATTTCTCATGAGGTCTACGCCAAACCCATTGCTGACCATCGTTTTCAAATAAAAGAAACCGGGATTCATCACTCCAAATAATTGTATCCCATTCATTGTTCATCCCAACCTCTACCATCTTAAGCGTTTTATTCTGTTATTCTCAGAAACAAAGGGTTTTCTCTTCCCAATACGGCCAAAAAAGTTATAGTTATGAAGTATACGTCCAGCAGTACGAGTACTAACCTGGGTAATGCCTAGGCTCAGTAATCTCTTCAAGCAATTCTTTCCTATTATCTTTGGTTACTCGCACAAGAGTTCGCTCTTCACGGTCAGTCAAAAGAGGTGGTCTTCTTGAACGAGGAAGAGGTTCAAATTTGTTAATGATGTCATTGCAAGTAGTTCTGGGTATTCCGAGTATTTTTGAATGTCCGTGGCGTTGTGCTTGCCTTGTGAAGTCCATAATCATTCCACGTTCAAAAACAGTGAGTTCACGAGACTTAGGCATTTTATATAAAATCCAGCAAATAAAGCTAAAAAGTGACTTTATAATTTTTGAAAGCTACGGTCTTTGTCTGTTCGGGAAAAAAAAGCACTTGAAATTAAGTTAGATGTAAGGCGAGATTTGAATGTAGGCTACGGGGCATACTTTTGGCAGGGGGGATGTATCTTTTGAGCGGACTAAAACTCCACCGGATGCTGATGCAGGAAAACAATTTCATATCGTTTTTCGAGAGAAAGCTCCATTTTTTCAATGGTCTCGTCAATGATAATCAACTTTTCAATATAGGTGTCCCTGGAAGGCTGAGAGTTGATTGTTTGATAGTTGCAGACAGTGAGGAGGAGACACGTGTTCTTGATTGTTGATTCTCCTTGGCCAGTAGTATTGGAGTGGTGAATAAAAGTCCCTCGCGATAGTAGTATTGGAGTGGTCTCCAATGACTTCCACCCGTGATCTGGTTGTGGTGTAGAGTCTGTATGTTGCTAACGAGTGTGCTGGCATAGATTGAACTCCACGAATAGGTATGCCAATGGATAACCTGTTCCACTTTTTTGTCTAAACGGCAGATAAATAAATTATTAGCAATTTTATATAGTTTATATTATTACTTGCACGGTTTTACTTACAAGTCGCATCAAAAGATTATTTCCTTATTTTGTTCCGACTTCATATGATTAAAAAAGTGTAGGGTCATAATTGGTGGCATCAGCTTTTGAGTAAAATTGGGGTAATTATGTTGGCGAAAAGAGGTGGCATGCGAGAATGTGAGAATGGATCCATATGCATGTTTTTTAACGTAATCTCATCTTCCGTTCCAGGGGGACGGGATCGTCTACAGTGCAAGTGCCAAACAAAAGATCGTTTGTTTAAAAAGAAAGGTTGATTACCATCTGATAGTCAAGGCGGAATTGATCTAATCGCACAATGATGTGTTGTCGGCGTATGTATGATGGTAGGGGCAGTGATATTAGTGGTGGCAATGACCACTAATGCCATCTGTATCTCTTTTTTCGTCATATCATCTTGGCGCATTCTGATGTTACTACAATACCATAAATATACGTGAGATTCAATCGATCTGATAAAAGATCATCTAAAACATTCTGTACTACCCCTGATATGGCAATCCATCAGTTTTTGATTGCATTTGGCGTAATCTCAAGATTGTATTATAAACTTATTAAACCATGATAACAACTTGTGATACAATACACATTACACTATTTTTATTCCATCTTTCCCACCTAATTCGCCTTTGCAGTTTATTCATCTTGCTCTGGCCTCAAGTATAAGAGAACCACTTGGCCTCTCAACTTAATTTTACTTTATCGACACTATTAATGAACTCGTACTCGACCACCACATCAGCAGATTATCTCGCGCATCAAGGTAAATTGGTTAAATAGATAGTGACGTTTTAATTCTGTATATTGGACTCCAGCGAATATCTCCTGCACGCTAGTCAGTGCGGACATTCAATATATCATATCATTGTCGAGCTCTTCTATTCAACTCATTCAATTTGTTCCTCTTCAACGTCAAACAGTTTGGAAGACTTCTACCGCATACTAAATATTCCCTAAGAACATTATCTGCGCCTTCACTCAATTACCCTACTATTACATTCTTCCCTTCCTGAGAAAAAAAAATGCTCTCCCGCAAAGCACTTTTACAAATTGTGCGTCCTGGCAACACAGTCTTCCGTCCCATAGCAGTCCGTGGCTTGGCGACTGTCACCGACAATATATATGCGAACGCGAAACCGTCTAATGCACAATATAACGTTGCGAAACGGATTCCAGCAGCATTGAAATTAAAGACTGGACAAGTATTCAATGGCATCTCATTCGGTGCCCAGACGCCTGTATCCGGCGAAGCTGTCTTCACCACATCTCTTGTGGGATATCCCGAGTCAATGACCGATCCTTCATACCGAGGGCAAATTCTCGTCTTTACTCAACCCCTAATCGGGAACTACGGTGTACCAGCCCATAAGAAAGACAGATTCGGGCTCTTGAGCTCGTTTGAATCTGATGGCATTCAATGCGAGGCCATTGTCGTCAATGACTATGCTACTCAATATTCTCATTGGACAGCAGTAGAATCTTTGGGCGAATGGTGTACTAGGTCCAATATTCCTGCCATCAGCGGTGTAGATACTCGAGCAATCGTGCATTTGTTGCGTAATCAAGGATCAACTCTGGCTAGAGTAGACGTTGGCGATGATGCGGTTAGCATGAGTTTAGACAAGGCAGAGTTTGTCGATCCGAATACTAGAAACCTCGTTGCCGAAGTTAGTACCAAGGAACCCGTATCTTACAATCCATACGGCGACATCAATATTGCAGTTGTTGACTGTGGTGTTAAGCATAACATTCTTCGCTCATTGACGTCACGTGGGGCTGCGATCACGGTATTACCATGGGACTTTGATTTCAACAGTATAGCCCATCGTTTTGACGGGCTCTTCATCAGCAATGGACCCGGCAACCCTACTACAGTATCAACTACCGTTCAAAATCTACGTACCGCCCTCACTACATTCGACAAGCCCATTTTTGGGATCTGTATGGGCAACTTGCTTCTCGGTATGGCGGCTGGTCTAGGCGTGCGCAAATTGCGCTTCGGAAATCGTGGTCATAACGTTCCTGCTGTAGACCAAACGACGGGATCATGTGTAATTACATCACAGAACCATGGTTATGCTTTAATGGATGACGCTATGCCTAAGGGTTGGGTGAAATACTTTGTCAACGCGAATGACGGTACCAATGAGGGTATCCGACACGCCAGCCTCCCAATAAAGAGTGTGCAATTCCATCCTGAAGCAAAGGGTGGACCACAAGACACCGAATACTTGTTTGACGATTTCGTGGCCGAAATCCGTGCTCACAAGCTTAAGCGGGAAGGTTTGATTGATGGCGTGAGCAAGAGCGTTGGTATTAGCCAGAGTACGCAATTGTAAGGAGATTAAGGACTAGCGGAAGTTTAGAAATATCAATCATATAGGATATTATCAAATTAATAATATATGGTTCTATAAGTAGCTAATGAGAATACACTTGTCTTGTATATGATGAACGCTAATATAAAAAAGGTGAAAAGAATCTATTTTGTAATTAACATTGACTTAAATGCATTAAAAAAAAGTATCAAAACATTAATTAATGTGCTCTCTATTATACCAAAGTGACCTTAATGGTTTGGCCACTTATCTATATAATCCATGAGAATTAAAATACTTTAAAAAGTGGACGGTAACATAATTGATGTTAATTATCGATGCATATGGCAATTTTCGACATTCACCTGACACAATCGACATCGTATTAATCTGGAATTTACCAGAGCAATGATAGTAAATCTTGACGAGCGAAGAAGTCATCTAATGACAATATCCTATTATTCACACATACACTCGAACAGTCAGTCTTCACGTGAGAATTCTGAGTAATGTCAAATAAATGCTCACTCAATTAACCCTATACGATCCTATGCACCGGATTTGGTTTTTACATTATACACATCCTTCATCGAACGATTAAATTCTATCGTACATGTACTTAAGACATTATTTTAGTATTGTTAATGAGCATACATATTTAGTTGGAGTGAAACAGACTTGGAATGGTTTGGATATATTTTCCTTTGTCGTGTGTCGACATGTGTGACAGAAACGAGAATACTTTTAATTTTCAGTCTAAGGCGGTTTATTGTTTAGTGAAAAGCTTGCTTTTAAAGCACTTGTTCTAATAAATACAATTCCGTTGTTAAAGAATAATATGACTCACACTTGAATGTTCATGTCTTTCTACAAATCTTACTAGGTCTATTGTCTAAATGCTCGACATGGAAACTGCCTCATGCATGTTGGCTACCGTAATGTCATGCTGTCCTAACCCGCGTAATATCATGCAGACACAAGCAAGCTACAGTCAAAAGAGTCTTCTTGCATAATGTGAGGAATGTCAAGAGAACTTGCCATGTTGCAAATGTGAAATGTGTTATTGTCAGACCTACTCATTTATTACTTGTCCATGGTTGTCTTTGTTTTCTTCGTAATCTCTGCGACTCGTTTCAAATGTATGCATTGTGTTGTCAGCAGTAGTAATAATAAGTAGTAATAGTAATAGTAGTAATAACAGTAAAAATAATAGTAAACTGATAGGCATTTCCAACTGTCTATTCGTATCAGCCAATCAGAATCAGACAACACTACATTAAAACGAGAAAGGTTCTCGTATAAATCGAATTCATTCGGCGAACAGATATGCATATCACTCTAACTCATTATGCGCTTAAACAGACGTTTATTTAGTGTTATCGGCTCTCTTCTGCTGATAGTGCTCTCAACTATATTAATATGTGAATGTGAGGCTGCAATTATGGCCATAGACTATGGTACGGACTGGTTCAAAGTGGCCTTAATTAGACCGCAACACCCATTTGAAATCGTGTTGAATAATGACTCGAAAAGAAAGACACCATCGATATTAACCGTGCGTGGTGACGTGAGATCATATGGGCTCGATTCCTATGCTCTTGTATGTATAATAAGTTGAGGCTGACGAACAAGTCGTGTCTTACTAACAATGTAGTGGGTATGTTTTGTATGAGTTCTCACGTGATTTATCATGTCTATACATAGGGATTGCGGTATCCGTTAAACACTTATTTCAGCTTGAAGAAAGTCATTGGGAAAACCTTTGATGACGAAGATGCCAAGCAATATCGAGAAATGTTTGGCAATAAAATGATAGCAGATCCCATACGGAATACTGTTGCATTTCAACACAATGATACAATAGTCTTTAGTGTTGAAGAGCTAATAGCTATGCAATTCTCTCGTGCAAAAGCGCAAGCTGAAAATATAGCCGGGGAAACTATCAAGGATGTTGTCATAACGGTAAATACATATAATGATTGTGATAATGTGACTTTGATAGAGATCAATTGGCGCATTTTATCTAATATCTTGTTGTTTATATAATGTTAATTGCAATACAAGATTCCTCCGTTCTTCAACCAATTTGAGCGACGAGCTATTCTAGATGCTGCTGATTTAGCTGATCTGAATGTGCTTGGTTTGATACATGATGAAACAGCTGGTGAGAAACTTTTATGACATGACATTATATTCCAATATTCAATGCCACTAGAATGTTATTACTACAATAATTCACATACTGAGTGACTTAATTCCACTTTGCAGTCGCCCTTAATTACATATCAACGCGTGCAAAATCGTTGACGGAACAACCTCAGTATTATATATATTATGACATGGGGGCTGGAAATACAGTCGCAAGCTTAATATCTTTCAAGCGAGCAGTCGTCAAAGATACCGGTCGATTTAATAAAACTGTGGTAGACTTGGAAGTTAAATCAATTGGATATGATCGAACGTTTGGTGGTCAGGCATTCGATATGAGGCTACGCAAATATCTGGCAACCGAATTTGAGAAGGCGTACCAGGACAAACTGACAACATCCGTATTTAGTTCACCGAGGGCAATGGTTAAGCTACTTAAGGAAGCCAACAGAGTAAAAAAGATCCTAAGTGCAAATAAAGCAACAGTGGCCTCGGTTAGTGGAAAGGAGTTTTGGTTAAACCTTGCGCGTGACCAATAGAGTAGCTTATAGACTTTTTTCGTGTATAGGTCGAAAACTTGCATGAAAACCATGATTTCCGTATTCGAATAACTAGAGAAGAATTCGAGTCATTAGTTGAAGATTTGTTGGACCGTGTAAATCAACCTATCGAAATTGCGTTGAGTAAAGCTCAAATGACATTGGTAAGTCAATAGAAATATTGTCATCTTGCTAATAGGAATCAGTATTTCTAATGTTCTGATCTTGTATTTAGGCAGATATTCAGTCTGTGATCTTGGTTGGGGGGGGTGTACGTATCCCCGCCGTACGGAACGCGTTGAAAAACGCTGTAGGAGAGTAAGTTTCTTTATCGTTAATTTCTACCCTGTATTCAGTACCGTAAACCTAACTTGTGAATTTTTTGCAGGGACAAAATCGCAAATAGTGTGAATGGAGACGAAGCTGCTGCTTTAGGTAATTGCATCTGTTTTCCTATTTGTATGTGATAGTATTATTGATTGTACCATTTTCGTATGATTAGGGGCTATTTTCCTAGCGGCATCGTATCAGAGCGGATTTAGAGGCCAAGAGGTTAGAATTAAAGATGTCACTCCGTATGCGATTGAAGTTGACTATCTATCAGAACCAAAAGAAATTCCCGATGGTACGAATATGTTTCGCCTCTCAGCACAGTCAAAGCTTGATAAGCCGATAACTTTGTATGCTTAAACATCATATCCTTAGTGCTTCAGCTTAATAAGAATTAACTTGTAAGTTCACATACCCGAGGGGACAATCAAAACAAGTCATTTTGAATAGACATTGACTTTTTCCTTTGTCACAGCATTGGCTTATCAAGCTTTGACGGTACGATCTTCGACGACTGTACGTACGTATTACATTTACTAGTTCAGGTACTTACTTGTTTTATGTCCAACACATTGCTTTTATCATTCAGGTCCACCACAAAGCAAAGCCTTTCATCAATTACTATTCAAAGACCTATCGTCTTTGAACGTTCGTAAATTGATGAACTTCAAGCGAACGAGCGATTTTGATTTTACAGTGAAATACAGCCAGGCTCCTGATAGTGAGACGAATGTCAACCCTGCGGAAATTGCATTGGCCAAAATCTCTGGATTAGCCGAAGCAATAACACAGTTCAAAGACGTGAATGCCGACAAGCGTAAAGTTAGAGTTGGGATACAGTTATCAGACTCTGGTTTGGTTACTGTCGGTGAGGCCGTTGCTGAAGTTGAAGTTGAGCCCTCATTAACCGGTAAATTCTCTATTGTGTTTGTTTTAGATTACAGATAGTGCTTTAATGTCTCTTTAATGATGTTGATAATATTATTAGATAAATTTAAATCATTTTTTGGAATACATTCTAATGACACAGACGAAACAGTGAAAGAAGTTCCCAATCCCGAGGTAGACTATAATTGATATCAGCAAATAACCTTGCTATGCGATAGAACTCATCTCTGTATAATTCTAGGAGGGTGCGAATGATTCTAACGATACGACCGAAAACTCAACTGCATCTTCGAATACATCCGAGGCGCAGGAAGCTGCTCAGACGAAATTAGAGTCAATAAGCCTAAAAGTAGACGTTGAATATATTGGTATTCCACCTATGGGTGAGGATGAAAAGCAATCAATTATTACCAGGTAAGCCAACAGGATTAAATCACAGTATCACTGTAAACACGTAAATGGTAGATGATTAATTTATTGTCTGTTTTTTTATGCTACTTGATTCATTTTGAATCTTTACCAAAAAGACTTCGCCTTATGGATAAAGCCGATGAATTGCGTAGAACACGTGAGGAAGCTAGAAATAACCTCGAGGCATTTACATACAGTCTTCAAAATTTCCTATACGATGATGTTGTTATTCAAGTGAGTAATGACGAACAGAGAAATGAATTGGGAGCGAAGCTGTCGAGGATATCTGACTGGTTATATGAGGATGGCGAGACAGCACCCACAGAAGAGTTAAAATCACGACTTGCAGACCTTCAGTGAGTAATAACGCGTTGTTTTTTTTCCATGATGGACGAGTTAAGCATTTTTATTCACAACCAATCTCTTCTATAATCAGAGCGCTTGAAAAACCAATAGCAATGAGAAGAACAGAGTTGTTAGAAAGACCAAAGGTAGTAGAATTCGTCAAAGGCTTAATCAAAGCAGCCCGTGATCTCGTCACAAAGATAACCGACTTAAGTGCAGATGAACGTTATCACACCGATGAAGAGCTTCAGGAACTTATCCAGCTCTGTGATAGCACTGAGGAGCATCTCAATCATAGACTTGCTAAGCAGTCCGAGATTCCAACATGGGATGAGCCTATTATAACTGTGGCCGAAATAAAATACATGCAGCATGATGTAGAACGTGGAATCAAGGCATTGTTGGAAAAAAAGCCGCCAACGAAGCCCAAGGCACAAACAACCACGACGGCTTCACCAGACGAGGATTCATCTAAGGAGTCGGAAAGTTCATCAGCTACACAGGAAGAAACCGTGCCCACTGAAACACAAAGTTCACCAGCCCCAGATCCACACGAAGAGCTCTAATGTTGTCTTTACGAGTAACGTGCTATAGATATCAGTTATATTAATTGCTGATAATATAGACAATAGAATTAATAAATTACTGATTAAATGTCAGTTTCAAATTTACTTTTGTCATCATAAACTGTCTAATTTTGTTCTTATAATATAATCTATTGGTATAAAGTAGCCTTCATCCATCAACTTGCTCATTCTTATCCAATTTGGTAAGAGCCCCCAACATGGTAGGTGGCAAAGTTGTTATAGGGGGCAAGAGTTTTGTTGCAGTGTGGCGAGCCTGTTGGATCAATACAGCACTGAAAGAGACGCAAGAAAGAGTTTAGGATATATGCCAATATAAACTCGTTATAGTTCATTGCACTAGCTTGGCCGCATACTTACTCCATAAGCACCAACGATGCCATTGCTTCAACAATTGGCACTGCCCTTGGCAGTACACACGGATCATGTCTACCACGAGCGGCAAGAACACCGTCTGTACCATCATAAGTGGCTGTTTTTTGTGGTTGAGATATTGTAGCCGGTGGTTTAAATGCTACTCTAAAATATATATGTTCTCCATTGGTGATACCGCCCTGCCGCAACGATGAGTGACTTCAGCACTAATTCATTAATCAAATATGTGATACATAATCTCTGTCAACTCACCTGAATACCGCCGGAACGGTTTGTCTTTGTTCCCAATTTTCCGTTTGTTCCCATTACCCACGGGTCATTGTGCTGATGCCCAAACAGAGTGGTGCCTCGGAACCCGCTACCGATCTCAAATCCTTTGGTAGATGGGAGAGAGAGCATACCATGCGCTAGCATAGCCTCTAATTTATCAAAGCATGGTTCCCCAAGCCCAGGCGGAACATTACGAACAACACATGTTATTGTCCCACCAACCGAATCACTCTTACTTTTCGCTTCAAGAATACGCTGTTCATCAAAGAGTTAATGAAAAGATTTGAGCGCGTTAAAGTCGTTAAGCATTGTAAATGTAATGCAAGGCTGACCTTGCTCAAGTATGTAGAATGTTAATAGATCAATATTCAACTATCGGTCATACCTCTCTCATTCTCTCAGAAACATCTTTGTCAGGACACCTTACAATATGCTGATCAACATCATCGCGCGTAACAGTATTCAAAAGCTGCATGAAATCGTCAGAGAACAAGTCTTCATCGTCACTCTCAAGAAACGGCATTTTCACGCTTGAGACTGAAGATACGAAAGCAACTATTTCTACTCCGTAAGCCATATGCAAGTATTTTTCGGCAATAGTACCAGCAGCCACGCGACCTAAATAAGAAAGAGAATATGGCCATGATTTGTCAGTAAATACAGTTTTTACATCTATCAGATGTATAAATACTATGAAAAAGTCACTACCGATTGTTTCCCTGGCAGACGCTCTCCCGCCTCCGCTGCTAGCTTTTACTCCATATTTCAGCAGATAAGTCCAATCAGCATGGCTTGGTCTTGGATAGAAATCAGTTTCAGTATAATCGTGCGGTCGTTGATCTTGGTTAGGAACCGATAAACCGATTGGAGTACCCAGCGTTACGCCGAATTCTGTTCCTGATTGTATCGTCACTTGATCCTTTTCGTCGCGCTAGCTTACGAGGAACGGAAAAGTCGTAATATCACAAAATACTTTGTGCAAGGACGAAAATCCTGCTTTCCTAATAGACGAATTTTAACATTAAACTTACCGGTGTTGTTAAGTTACTTTGTCCAGGTCGCCTTCTGTTCAACTGTTTCTGAATATCACTTTCAACCAGTGGTAGTCCTGGTGGACATCCGTCTACTATGCACCCAACAGACTTGCAATGCGATTCACCGTAAGTGGTCACGCGAAACAAAGTCCCAAATCTACTCATGCTTAGTTGTCTTTATTTCTTTTGTAAGACTTGGAGACTTTGGAATTGTATTGATTAATATTAGTAATAGGGCCCAAAATTATTATTTTGATTTATTAACTGAAAGATGTGATGTTAAGATAATCAAGTTTATAAATTTTTATATGTTTATACTATATTCCCAGTTTACAAGTAAATAAGGAGAAATAGAAATCAGTATTCCGACTAACTGACTTCCAAATCTGGGATGGTTTAGAAATTTACTGACCGGATTTAAAAGAAATAAAACTTTCACTAACGACTGTCTATTAAACGTGTCAAGAATGTAAACTGTGCTGGTAGCAGTAAGCTTGAGAATGCTAACGCTTGGGGAGAGATCTCGTTTAAGGTCGACTCCGCTTTAAATTGAGCAAGCATGGATAGTGTTACGTCCAAGTCACTAACTACGAGCAGAGTTCGGATGTTCATCGACTTTATTACATTTTACAACTCATAAATACGGGATTCTTACCAACTTATTGTCAAATCTCAGACATGAGTGGAGCTCTAGCGCATGTATATTAATACAGGTTCTATCCCTCGGATAGCAATTCCGAAATTGAGAATCAATATCCACTGTTTATTAACTTGATCACTACTCACCTACCAAAAAGACCTCTAGCCACATTATCCCTTATGTCCTTGTTGAGCCTTTGAAGGCCATCGTCCACAACCTCTTTCGTCTCTCGCTGCAAAGTCCAGCCATTATCTTTCGTCAGATTTTCGACAATGAACAATAAAAAAATATAGATCTGTTCTTCCGATCGTGGAAGGCTACCGAGGCGAGCCAGCGTTGTGGACGTCGTATGGAAGACAAGCACGAGTAGTGTTATCGACGATGATGTTGATAACATTTTCTCGAAGGAGAGTCAGCATTAGAATGAAACACAAAGTAGAAAATGAATCATAAAATAAAGGAAATGCCATGTCAGGAATACCTTGACAGATTTGATAATGTTTTGAGTAATGTACAAATCATTCATAGAATGTCTCTGAAGCATGTTATGTGTTCCACCACCAGCAGCAAGAGTAGATAAACCTGAGAGGATATTTATCATGCTGAATCTGATACATGCAAGCGAGAGGCGATCTAGTAATTGAACACTTGTTAGCAGTAGGACTGCTGATTGCTTTCTAATCAACTCTTTTCTCACCTTGTACTTCTAGCTCTCCAACGAGAACTCCACAATTGCTGACTAGATCGCTGGCTGACAGTAAACCATATCCTATAAGAGTCTTTACCAGCTGTGTCAATAATCGTATAGCCTCAGACTCCGTACTCGTATCCAATATTGAACAAAATGCTACTGGTGCAAGTTTGAGGAAATTTCTTCGTTTGACCGAGAAATCTGATGGCGATTTTACTAATGCCTGAAATTTAAATATAAATGTTAATGAGGCTGCGCTCAGAATAATTGCACATGCAACTATTCTTGTCTTATTCTTCTACCACCTCACAGAATTTCGTACACCATGTATCCTCTATTCGACAAGCCTCCAGAAACAACATTATCTTGCTGATAATGGAGTGGAATTCACTTCCCGTAGCAGTAAACTCCTCGGATGACAGCGACAGAAAGTCATACAACGGTTTGGGTATTGGTGGTGGGATGAGTTTGAAGTTAAATGTTTTGCTCAAGAGGTCGAATAAGGAATACAAGCGGAGATGAAATGACCATGCTGAACAGGTTAGTAAAACATGCGAAAGTGTACATAATAACAAAGTTATCTGCAGAAACTTACACAGACACGAAGACTCTTCGTAGAATTCGCGCATTGATGTTTCATTTGCATTAATGTCATCTAGCGACGGGGCATTAAAAGTTTAATTGGCGATCAAAAATTCGTCCAGTGATATTTCACATAAAACTCACCTTGGCTCCAACGTTTCTCGGTTTCAAACGCCACTTTTATCTGTGCGATAATAAAGTCTAGCGCTCTTTCAACATTCTCGATGACACTCAATGCACTGACGCTTTTAGATCTCGCGCTTAATATCCTTCCAAGCAATATCAGCATCAAGAATGGCTTAGTTTTCCATAACCATGTCTTCTCCTCGGTCGTGTTATTTATGATTCCCACTAGGACTCCAATCACAACGGGTAAATTCTGTGTATTTGTCTCTAATTCCGGGATTACAATATCTCTAATGGCTTCCGACTTTGATATTAGTTCTGATGAGATCGACCCAAGAATAAATGTGATAAGATTCTTTCTTTCTTGGTCAGAGAGTATGACTATATTCAATTTTATCTTCTGTAAACGATTCTGCAACACTGCTATTAGAAGTGTGGGAGACGTTGAATGGGATTTGTAGGATGTAATGGATGCTAATGTTTGAGATATCAGATGTATAATGACGGATGATTGGCCTTTGTTCCTAGTTGCTTCCATTACAAGTAGATCGAGCGTTTGATATGGAGATATGAGAGAAAGCTATACGTGATAATATACCCACGCATATCAACAAGCAATGGGTTAGCAACGGTCATTGAGCATAACTTCCATATACCATATATTACCTCCATAACTGCCTCGAGTATTTCGCTATCTTCATCGTCTCCTGCTACCAACTGATTACATACGACTCTACCTCGTCTCTCAAAATCATAATCCCATAAATCCCAATTACCAAAAGTTGGAAAAGTTATGTCTAGTGCCTTTTCCCTGTTAGAGACCACATAATCTCTTAAAATTTGTTGTTGATGAATCGTAAGATTGGAAAATAATTTCAGGAATAAAGCGGTCGTATTCTACAAAAGCGACGTATCAAGATGTTTGTAATATGTCAGAAGTAATCAGTCAGTGACGGACAACATACCTTTATCGTATCATTCGATATCTTAGAGGGATTAGACCGATATGATTTTGAAAGCCGATCTATACTTTTGTATAAATCAAGGCTAAGTCCCTGTTCGATCATCAAAGATAGAAAATGATCAGAGTCAAAGTCACTCCTCCTGTCATTCGGATATTAGATAATCAGCATTAATGTATCGACACACAAAATGTGTAAAGCGGAGTATGTGCGTATTACCCGCGAACGTGTCAAGTGCTTACCCAACAAACATCCAGACAAAATCGACAACTACTTTCAGAAATGTCATACATCCCATTCGA